AAAGAAAGAAAGAAAAATAGAAAGAAAGAAAAATAGAAAGAAAGAAAGAAAAATAGAAAGAAAGAAAGAAAGAAAGAAAGAAGAAAAAACAACAATAGCAACAACAACAACAAAGTTTGACGTACCTTCAGCGTTTGGTCTTTGGCCTTTTCGGTAACCTGTTGGAAGAAGTGCATCAATGTCGACCTCACCATGTATTCTGAAAATAAAAACATTTGCATATCATCAATACATTTATTTCACATCTGACAGGTTGCGGAGCTAAGGAGCACGTGATCGTTAGACGTCATACTAGGAATGCAATGCATTATGGGTCAAAATGTCTTGTGTAACATTTTACTGACACACTATTATCTTGCCTCTTTTGCCCAATCCACGATGGCCAATCATCTTGACATGATAAATTATTTGCAAATCTGGACATCGTTTTTTTGGATTTTTTTTAATTTTTTGTTTAACACCAAACAACACAGCTATGGATTTGACCCCATACTTTACAATTACATGTGAGCAGGGTTAGTTTTGTTTTCTCTTGTGTTTCAAAGGTTACGGATTTCTTCAGGTTCCAGTTTTCCTCCCTCCTCAAAAATCAACACATTTAAAATCTAATTTATTATCATGCATGGAACGAATGCCACAGGTTCATTACTTTCTGAGGTACGAGGCCTGATGTAAATCTCTCACAAAACAAGGGATAAAATATGTATTTATAATAAAATGGATAATATAGTTTTAACAAGCACCCCTAATTTTTTTTTCGAGGACATTTAGTGATGTCACGATAATTAAATAAAAGCAATTTACAACTAATCCTTGGCTTCATTATCAGGAAAATAACAAACACTGCGATTAGTAGTTTCAAATAGATTATTTGAAAATTATCACTTTCTTACCCACACGAGGTGTCAATAAAAAATTGGACAAACTATTTCTGCGTTACGATTTTCATTATGAACACCTTTCTGCAGATTAGTTCTGTCATGTCGTTCTGTAATGTCTGCCTGGATATACGAGTAAGGTGGTTAAAGGGCACTGGGTTTATTAGTATGATTTTTTAAACTATCGTTGTTAACTGTCGTCAAGAGAATATTCTCTTGCTGTCGTGTGTTGAACTTTTGTTAACTAATAACATAAACCCTTCATAACGAAGCCTGCGCATCCTCATAGTTTCCTATATGGCTCGAGATTGGCCTTGGGACGCATTTGCCTTTGGAAACTGCTGCTCGACAAAAAAACGCACAAAGTTTCTATTATTAATCATTTGTCCTTCTGGCCTGCTGTCTGTCAGCCACCAGTAGCTCTTCCACTCTCGTCCAGGGGCTTTGATCTTTTATGGTGTTTTTTTTTAATCAAAAAGCAGCAGATTTCATAGTGCGTCATTGGCACACATGTGGCATATATTTCAAATATTTATTATCAACATTATCCTGTACGCCTGTGTGACACGTAGGGCCAACACCAAGGAGTTCATTTCAGATGTTGGACACGACAAAAGTTATGTCCATGGTTTTACTTTTACAATATCTCTTTCAATTGGAATTCGTAAAATACCGCTGTGTTTCTTGATTAAATATCTGATGTGTTTCTAGAGTTAGTCTTATATTTAGAGAAAAACAAAAACACTTTCATATGCCAAAAAATCCCTTAAGTAAGGACATGACTGTATTGTACAAACGATCGAATCTGCGATATTTTTGCCTTTGTCCGCCAAAAGAATAAATTTAAAAATAAGCTCTACAGTGGCAATTTTTATCGAAGGAAAATAGAATCTTTTATTTAAGACATGGGGAATCTTCGTAATAGCAAAGAGTTCGTTTGCGGATTTGATTTAAGTTCGCGTTGCTGGCGCGCTAATTGCAAATATCAAAACCGCACGTTCAAAACACTAACAATCGATTATTTAAGATTATCTATTTGACCAAGTGTTTATTTATTTATTTWTTTTTTCAAAACCGCATTCGTAAAACAAACCTTCGACTCTGCCATCAAGATGCGATAACAAGAAACCCCAAGTGCAAACATCTTGAGAAATGATGGTGAAGTGTGCGGTTATTGCGGTACCTGACCTACAAAGATTATGTAAACTGGCGCTAAAGTCCTAAACGCCCTTGCCTTGCTTGGGCCCCGAAGCTGGTGTACTTTTAATTCGCGGCCGACAAATATCAGGGCCCAGCTGTACGAATGGGTAGCACTATATCTGACGGATAAATCCTAATAATCCAGAGGTTTACGAAGAAAATTCCGGATGTGACGCAGGCTAAGAATCCAGTGGATAAGTCGAGGCTGTTATCCCATAAATGTATCCACTGGATAAGATTTGTCCGTCGAATAGGAGAGGAGGAGGGGAGGGGGGCGTTACTTGAGAAAGACTATAGTAAAAGTAGTCATTTAAAAAACAAAAAATTATGATCAAAATATATGAACAAATAACGTCATCAGCTCTTAAAGAACTTCTCGTCTGACAACCTCTAACCATAGAAGCCACATATGCACTTTGCGCTGTCAAATTTGTGTTTCGGTTTGCGCGACTGAGTTTTCCAATATTCCATCAAATTCCAAACCAAATGTTCTTTCATGACAAGGAAATCTTCTCTCGATATGATAAGAAACTCTTTACCACCAAGGTAAACTACCTACGTTTAGAGTGCACTTGGATATTTACTTTTCGGAGGATGAATCAAACATGAGATTTAACTATACATCTGTGGAAATCATAAAAAAACTTGATTTTTTTGTGAGAGCTAGGTCAGAGGTAGCTTTGTAAAGTTAGCTAAAACTACGTACTTCTAAGTTGTTTCCGGTTAAATTTTAGAAACTTAAATGTGAGTCCAATTTATCTATACTTCATGGTGCAATATTACCCGCGAGGATAGACTATAAACTTTTGAGACAAAATACTACTTATTTTTGAAAGCAATTTGTTGAGTTTTCGACTTAAGGTGACTGCAACATAACTGGGAATGAACTCAGCAATTTTTTCAACTCACTCGTATCGAGAAAACTACAAAAACTACAAAAAAAAAAAAAAAAACACTCGGGTATTTCTAATAATTAGCACACTTATAGTAGCTCAAACATTTAGTCTTCTAAGGGTGTACTCAAAGTTCTATCTTTGAGTCGCGTTTACTTTCGCGGGCCAATTTCCTAACAGTGGTTTTTCACAATATTGTACTTCTGTTCAGGATCTTTCGAGAGGGGGCCGAGTAAGATTCAATGAAGTCAGATCCTCATTCAATGATTATTAGACGTGTCTCAGATTGTCTGAGAGTTGATGAATTTTACATGTGCATAACATTTTTTATATTGAGAAAATAGCAGGTGTTCTTACAAAGCAAACGAGTTTTATTATAATAYTTCCAACTGCATAGGACATAACAAGTTTGGCTCTTTGGCGAACTCCTTTTAATAGTATATAAATATATCATATTCTTGTTGCTTGTTGGCTCACACTTCTTTATCTCAGGAATTTTTTTCCAGCTTCTTAAGTGTTGTCCTTGCGCAGGAAAAAGAAAGATTGCTTTAATCTGATTTGATTTAAGCTTGGACGCTTAAACCGTGAAACCAGTGCATATCAAACATATATACCTATTTCAAAAAAACGTTGTCGGTGTGAGACCAACCAAGTAGGACGCTTCAATTTGGTGATATATTCACAGCCGAACAACGTTGTTTCCTCTTTTACATTGCATGCCCTTTGAGTTAGAAAAGTGATTTTTAATATTTTAGCCAAAAAACATGAAAGCACTGTTTAGTCTCAGATCGGCCGTATTTTTTAATAAAGGTGTAATCCAAGATTTTACCACATCAAGTCAGTATAAATGTTGACTGTCAATTCATCTGCCAGGATTATCTATTAATCGTGGGGCTCTTTGAAAAAACCTGAATAGAGTGTTTCTGAAAAGACATAATTTTGGTGGAATAGAAAAACTCCCGCCAAGTGTTAGTTATTATGATGCTCACAGAACCAGGAACGAGTTTTTGAGATAGGGAGTTAATATTCACACCTGTCGCAATGAAACTCGCAGATGACCTTATAAAAGTGTTCGTAGTTTTTGCAAACGTTTCAATCCGATTTATTTTAAAATTAGATTATATTATCTTATCTACAGACGTCAGAAACCTTTTAAAAAAATATTTGAACCTTTTAAAGAAATATCAATTCTATTCATTTTAAAATTAGATTATATTCTGTACATCGGTAGGAACTTTGTTAAAACTAAATCATGCTATACACATTCAAGCCATTCCTGAAAATATTTCCTAAAGTTCTCATTGTTTTTGGAGCCGAGATCTTTAATACTTGTCGTTGTGTTGGCCCTGAATTCGACATTGACTTCTGAATGGTTCAATTTTTACACACGCTTTAATCTGTATGAAAATTATTTGAACGTCTGGTTTTCAAGGTCTTGACCTGTGAGAATTATCATAAAACGCAGGAATACGCCGGATAATTCAAGATGAAGTAAATGAAGACGGCGACTGAATAATTACATTTGTAACGATTTAAAAGTTTATAAAGAAATTCGACAAAACACCAATTGAAGGGTTTCAGTCGTCTAAAAGTGAAGCATTTTTCGTGGTTTTTCCCCACAAGCTTAAGCGTCGAATTAACAAATCATGACATCTGATGAAAGGGCTGTTTGAAAATAGTCTAAATAAAAAGAACGACTTTTTTAATATGGTCGCATTTGAGCGTTTAATTCGATATGTTTATTTATTAGTTCACCAACTGTTTTAGACAAAAATAGGCATATCTATTGATAGTTCAAGATCGTCTCTTCGAGTTTTTACAAGCTACTTCAGTATTTTGCAACACTCGCGCCAGAAAATGTAAAATAGAATTTAACAGTGGTATTTCCACTGAGTGTCTCTTCATCCACTGAATTCCAATTGGAATTTAGGAGTTGATTTTTGCGGAGTGGTCAAAAGCGGAGAACTCTCATGACTTACCTTACGACACATTTAATATAATATTTTTATTGAAGGAATATAGTTAAAATATACTAAAAAACAACAACAAACAAAAAAAAACAAAAAACAAACAAACAAACAAATAACACAGAAAACTTACCGTTGTGTACAAAAAATTGATATCGAAACAACTGCAGTAAGATACCAGTGAACTAGTTTCTTCACCATGATTGCAGGTACTGGCTCTCCAAACAACGAAGGATTTGATTCCTAAAGTTCAATGAAAAGTTGGATTTTTAAGCCGTTTGCTTTTGGTGGATTTTCATTTTTTTACGATTGAATCAGATAAGCTGATAATGACAAGCGGTTATTTACTAGCTTGCACTATGTTGGTGTGTTGAATGCGATAGTTATCTCCACCGTGTACAAAGAATTGTAATTATCTTTTGTCAAGCTCTATTGCTCCGCCAAAGGACAAACGTTCGAAATTTCAGTTAAATTTTATACGCGGCAATAAAAAAACGCTGTCATCGCCAAAGGTGATAGGCGCAAAGCGATATCGTCTTTAGCGATACAACGTTTATTGAACTGGTGTATTCACTGACAAGCGACTTACTTACCTCGAATAAAGTTTTTGTATCGATGATCGTATTATCAGCAAACCCTTATCAAGATGCGCTTCCCATTACTGTCTTGCTTCATACTTTTGCGGTAATGTCAGCTTAAACGCCTCACAATTCGTCAGTCCGTCCCAGAACCGATTGAAATCATATCCAATCCCATGTTAAATAAATAAAAAATAACAATTTAAACACCAGTGACATTTATTGGAGGACGTGTAGATTGCACGTGATTGATTTATAAGTCAAGCATAGCCTTTATAGTACCTGGGAAAATATGCCTGCCTTCTAGACTGTACTGGAAAGTGCTTAGGAACTATTGAACGTCACTGTTGCATGCGGTATGACACCCGTCTTGAAAAGAAAAATGTCACACTATATGATGAATATATAGTTAGAAATAGAAAGTTCGTTAATAATTCAAAATCACAATCTAAGCTAAAGAACACATTTTCCCTTAATGAATGTTTGAAAGCACGTCTGAACTGGGGATGCATAAACTTAGCACATTATATGTGAACGAAATTTAAATATCAATGCGCATTTTCATTTTGAAAACCAGTAAAATTCGTTATGTGTATATGAGCATATTCATATATTGTATGTCACAGGAAAAAATAGGTATTTTAATCTATGCAAGGCGTAGGATAATATTAAATAATAATGAATAAGTATGTAAGCCTTCTCTAAATTGGAGATTTCTTTCTGGTAACGAAACATTGGGCAATGGTTTTTTTTCCCTTTTCTGATAATCAACCATTCAAATGCAATAATTGGCTTCCTCCAAATAAATGTCACTGGTGTTTAAATTATTATTTTTTATTTATTTAACATGGGATTGGATATGATTTCAATCGGTTCTGGGACGGACTGACGAATTGTGAGGCGTTTTAGCTGACATTACCGCAAAAGTATGAAGCAAGACAGTTAATGGGAAGCGCATATTGATAACGGTTTGCTGATAATACGATCATAGCTGCCCTTTCTATAACTAGTTGGTTTAAAGAAACTGAACAACATCAGAAAATGTAGCCGACGATTGCGTACGAAAATGTACTGGGATATTAGATTTAGCGAAAGCAGATTACACTTTATATAGAATCTTATCCGTCCATCTGCTGAATTTTTATTATTATTTATTTATTTTTCCATTCACCCGCGTATTACTTAAAGAATTATTGATTTGGCGGTCAACTGTAAATGTTTTTGTGAAATTAGGCTTTTGAAACTGGTTAAATTATCACGAGCTTGTACAGAGTTTGAGGATAGAAACACAATCTGTGAGCAGATTGAGTGGCACATTTAACTGAGAGGAACTGTCTTGATTTCCTAGTAGGTGTTTTTAGGATGTTACTATAAATACTATACAAATGTTCTAGTGCAGAACTGTACCCTCGTAGTTTACCGATGCGCGTTGTAACAAAGAGACTTGAATATACCGAGTGTATGTGTATCGCTGGATAAAAGTTTGACAAACTAAAGTACATGATATATAAATAGGCATCTCTAGGCATCGTTAACCATATCATTTTTGTGGCATTCACAAACTTAAAATGAAATATAAATATTAATTTATTTATAAGCAAGAGAAAATCTTCACACTAAACATTTTGTCAGGACACTTGGGTTTGTCTGTCTGTCCTGTATGTTTGTCTGTTGGTTTGACGTCTATCCGTCTGTCCGCCCACCTTTCTTATAGCGGTCTAAACTGTCTTTCTGTCCGTCCGCCTGTCTGTCCGCCTGTCTGTCTGTCTGTCTGTCTGTCTGTCTGTCTGTCTGTCTATAGGTTCCTCTGTCTATATCAGGGGGTTCTATCAGCTGTCATAAGCAATATTTCTTCATAACAGCTTCGAGCCGAGTCTCACTTGGAGAACCGTTATCAACGATATTATCCTTGATGTAAGTAAAGAGATTTTGTAGAACTGTGGGCAAAAGAAAAGAAAAAAGAGAACAATTAAAATTTGAGTGTTGCAAGTCCTAGATTGTAGTCAAATGAGATGAATGATGAAGGCAGATATAATAGTATGCGATTCCAGTGACGGAAATAATGAATATGAGATGCTTACATGTGTGTGGTGGTTTCATGTGGTTTGGCGCGCTCTTCTATGTTTTAGTCTGGTGTGATTAATGTGACGTGCGCTGTGACGTGAAGTGAAGTGGTGTGGTGAGGTGTAGTACGCACTGGTCTAAAGCCCTATGCTAGGCGCGGTGCGCTGTTTTGAACTGCGGTGTGATGTACTAATCTGTGGTGAGGTTTGATGTGGTTTGATGTGGTGTGGTATGGTTATTGTATGTATGTATGTATATATGTGTGTGCGTGCGTGCGTGTGTGCATGCATGCATGCATGCAGGTAGGTAGATAGGTAGGTAGGTATGTATGGTGCAATATTTGTTGCGTGCATGTTGTGCTGTGGGAGATTGAAGTAAGGTGATGTATGGTCCATGATTATGTGGTGTGGTGTGGTGGGATGTGGTGTGGTGTGGTGTGGTGTGGTATGGTGTGGTGTGGTTATTGTATGTAGGTATGGTGCAATATGTGTTGCGTGCATGTTGTGCTGTGTGAGAGATTGTGGTAAGGTGTTGTATGGTCCATGATTATGTGGTGTGGTGTGGTGATATAGTATGGCGTGGTGTACAGTAGTGTGGTGTGGTGTGGTGATATAGTATGGCGATATAGTATGGCGTGGTGTACAGTAGTGTAGTGTAGTGTGGTGTGGTGTGGTGTGGTGTGGTGTGGTGATATAGTTTGGCGTGGTGTACAGTAGTGTAGTGTGGTGTGGTGTGGTGTGGTGATATAGTATGGCGTGGTGTATAGTAGTGTGGTGTGTAGTGGTGTGGTGTAGTGTGGTGTGGTTTGGTGTGTAGTGGTGTGGTGTGGTGTGAATTGGTGTGGTGTGGTGTGGTTATATAGTTTGGCGTGGTGTACAGTAGTGTAGTGTGGTGTGGTGTGGTGTGGTGATATAGTATGGCGTGGTGTATAGTAGTGTGGTGTGTTGTGGTGTGGTGTAGTGTGGTGTGGTTTGGTGTGTAGTGGTGTGGTGTGGTGTGGTGTGAATTGGTGTGTAGTGGTGTGGGGTGGTGTGGTGAGGGGTGGGGTGGTGTGCTGCAATATGTTTTGTCTGCATGTTATGCATGTTATGATTCTGGTGAAGGTTAAGTATGGTCCATTATGTGGTATAGTTCGTGGTATTGTTCGGTGCATTTGTGTTCTCGACCATTCACTAACCTTTCTTATCGTTTGCAGATAAAAACATTGCTGTCATTCCGAATCTTTGAACTTGAGCAAGACCTTCTAGTTCGTTGTACACAGGCAGCTTAGCTCTGCAATAATTACACATTCATGATCATAAGGGCATACATTCATCATACGACAATAGCAACAGAAAGAGAGGCAATGGAAGACATATAAGCGGCTATGTAGGCCCTTATTCGCACACTGAATTGACTGTACAAAAAATGCGCGTTTTAACATGAATCTGTGTCTTGTATTTCTAGCAGAAGTTTCAAGTTTTCAATTTTTAATTTTTTAATTTTTTAATTTTCAAACCATCGCTTAGATAAGTAGTAAATCTTTTTATTTTACTTACGGAATGTAATAGTCGTGTAAGAGGGATATAATCGCACTGAGCATGTCAGAATCGATAGCTTGTTGAAATAACTTTGAGTAGGCCTTTGGACTGATTTTCTACCAAAGCAAAAGCAACAATCAGTTGAAGACAACCTGACTTGTAACACTAAGGAAAAAAGCCATCATTTCATTGTCACTACGCCTTATCGTGTTTCTCAATCAAATACGTATAATGGTCGTTGTCACAGTAACTAGGTTTTTAGTGAAAGCCAATCAAGGCGTTTCCATGACGTTCCATGAGTACGTGCCCTTGAAAACTTTGTGTCATGACAACACTTTGATTGACGTCCACTAAAATTCCATTTTGTCGCATTGGTAAATGTGTACGTTATTTGATAGCTATTATTAAGGGAGCGGCGCTACATCTTTAATGAATAGGCCCCAAACTCTTGTCCCATCCCTCGTCGTCCCCACATGCCCATCGCCTTAAGGCCGGTTTAGACGGTACGATTTTCGCCTACGACTATCGTATACAACACGCTMGCGCCATCCTACGACTCGAGTCGCAGCGTGTAAATCAAGCCTACAACTCGCCTACGACAGACGCGAGCGTGTTGTATACGATAGTTGTAGGCAAAAATCGTACCGTCTAAACCGGCCTTTACGTTACTATTCTGTACAAGATTGTTTTCTCGCACAAAAGACAGGTAACAGTAAATTTCATATTTTATTATATAAATATCTCACCTTAAAATATTCAAACAGTTGGTTTGGTTTATTTTTCAGTTCTTTCCAGTCTTTTTCTAGCTGTATCGAAGTCTTGGGTATTTCATATATTTTGTTTTTAATGTTACTATTCTTTGGTGCAGTTTTAGTTCCTTCCTTCGGCTTCTTTTCTTCAGTTACTTCCGGTGACTTGGTTGTCTCAGTTGAACCTGTGCCTGGGTCAGCGGATGACGGAATCTCCATAATTTTGGGTGCTTTTTGATTTTTATTATTTCTATTGTCATCTTTCTCGGTACCAAATCCATCTTTAGGCTTCTCTGAGTGGTCCCTGGTAGTTTTAGCACCACAAGACTCGCGTTCTGTATTTTCGTCTTCGCTGCTATCAGAACCAATTTCATCGATTTGGATTCTCTTGAAAGGTTTCTACGTACGAAGGAAAGTGAACTTTATTGAGGCTACTATTATATCTTTAGAATTATCTGGAACGCATATTATAGGTGATTTATTTATCAATTTCTATAACCATCTATCCATCTATCCACCCATACATCCATCCAACTATTCACCCACTTTCCATGCGTTCACTCATCCAACCAACCACCCAAATACAGTCAGCCAGCCAAACATCCATCCACCGAGTCAGCCCCCCATGCACTCACCCATCTAATCAGTAACCCACCAACCCATACAGTCAGCTACCCACTCAGTCACCCTTCCACCCACCCATCCAGTCTTCCAACTAACTATACAGTCACCCAATCAACTATACAGTCAGCGACCCACCCATCCATCCAGTCAGCTACCCACCCATCCAATCTTCCACGTACCTGCCCACCAATCCAGTCAGCCAACCATCCACCCATCCATCCAGTCAGCCAACCAACCACCCATCCATCCAGTCAGCTACCCTTCCACCCATCCATTCAGTCTTCCACGTACCTGCCCCCCCCCC